TTTTTTTTTAGATAGTGTCTCACTATGTCTCCCTCAGTAGAGTGCTGTGACATCACAGCTCACGGCAAACCTCAAACTCTTGAGCCTAAGTGATTCCCTTGCTTCACCCTCCCAAGGCTGGGACTACAGGTGCCCATCACAATGCCCGGCTATTTTTTGTTGCAGTTGTCATTGTTGTTTAGCTGGCACGGACAGGGCTCGAACCTGCCAACCTCAGTGTATGTGGCTGGTGCTGTAACCACTGTGCTATGGCACTGAGCCTTTTTAAATTTATTTTTATTTATTTTTTTGCAGTTTTTAACCAGAGCTAGGTTTTTTGAACTCGCCACCTCCAGTATATGGGGCCAGTGCCGTACTCCTTTGAGCCACAGGCGCCACCCCAAGAGCCTATCATTTTTATTCTTTTGAGACAAAATTTCACTCTGTCATCCGGGCTAGAGTGCCATGGTGTCCAGAAACCTCAGACTTCTGGGTTTTGAGTATTCATCTTGCCTCAGCCTCCCACGTAGCTGAGACTACAGGTGCATGCCAAGACATCTGGCTGGTTTTTCTATTTTTAGCAGAGAGGGGGTCTCACTCTTGCTCAGGCTAGTATGGAACTCCTGAGCTCAAGTGATCCACCCTCATCAGACACCTAGAGTGGTAGGATTATAGGCATGAGCCACTGTGCCCTGCTGCATCCCCACTTATACCTGAGGAAAATGAGCCATAGAGTCACCAACTGGACAATGCTGAGGAGGTGGGATTAGACTGTGTCAACCCTGAAGCCAAGATTTGCTATGTCTGGTTGGCTCAGCATCTTGTGAGTATTCCTGCATGTTAAGAGATGGTAGGGACTGAGCTGGCATAGTGGGAGAGGTGGGTTGTGAAAGAGAGATGGTAGTGGACAAGGTCCTGGAGGAGGCTGGAAGGGACAGTGCCCTTAATGAGGGAGGTCTAACCTTGAGTGGGAATAGGATGAGGTGGCCCTGCATCTGGATGGGAGAGGAACCCATGATGATGTGTTCCCAACTCACAGAAGGCACTCAGTATACACTTGTGACTGGATGGCACTAGTATCTCCCCAAGTGAGGAATTCGTACCACAAACGGAATCAGGGACTGTTTCATGGATTTATATTGTATTAGAAAATACAAGTAGCTCAGCGCCTGTAGCTCATTGCCTCAGGCACCAGTCATGTATACCAGAGCTGGTGGGTTCGAACCCAGCCTGGGCCTGCCAAACAATAATGGCAACTACAATCCAAAAAATGGCCAGGCATTGTGGCAGGCGCCTGTAGTCCCAGCTGCTTGGGAGGCTGAGGCAAGTGAATCGCTTAGGCCCAAGAGTTTGAGGTTGCTGTAAGCTGTGATACCACAGTACTCTATCTGGACCTCTATCCGGACTGACATAGTGAGACTCTGTCTCAAAAAAAAGAAAATACAAGTAGCCATTTTAATCTGTGTTTTTACAGATGTTATTGCTTCTAATGAGCTAAGCAAAAAAGAGGGTCATTGAAAAAGGAGTGACAGAATTGGCACCCGTAACTCAGTGCCAACCACATACACTGAGGCTGGTGGGTTGCAGCCCAGCTCAGGCCAGCTAAATAACAATGATAACGCCAACCAAAAAATAGCCGAACACTGTGGCGGGCACCTCTAGCCCCAGCTACTTGGGAGGCTGAGGAAAGAGAATCGCTTAAGCCCAAGAGTTTGAGGTTGCTGTGAGCTGTGATGCCACAGCACTCTTCCGAGGGTGACGTAGTGAGACTCTGTCTCAAAACCAAAAAAAAAGGACTGATGGACTGACAAAATGGATGTGGCTCGGTGCCTGTGGCTCAAGTGGCTAAGGCACCAGCCACATACACCTAAGGTGGTGGGTTCGAATCCAGCCCTGGCCCACCAAACAACGATGGCTACAACCAAAAAATAGCCAGGCATTGTGGCGGGTGCCTGTGGTCCCAGTTACTTGGGAGGTGGAGGCAGGAGACTCTCTTGAGCCCAGGATTTGGAGGTTGCTGTGAGCTGTGATGCCATGGCACTCTACCCAGGGGGACAGCTTGAGGCTCTGTCTGAAAAAAAAAAAAAATGGATGCAACCTAAATGTCCTTCAACATGGGATTGGCTAACTAAGGTATATTCAATCAATAGAGATCGAGCAGATATTGTAAATGATTTGAGTTCCTGTCTAAGTATGACCACAGAAACTCAACATGCAGTTCAGCTACAGCCCAGGTCAAAAGGAGGGCAAGAGAGGAGGCCATATTCTTCCTTCCCCGGAGGTAGGCTTACTCTGGTCCCACTGCCTGCTACTGGTCACTCTGCCTTCCAGTGCCCTGTCTGAGGCAGGGCCCAGAACTCACCTGGAAGGATGTCATGTGCTGACTCCCAGGGAATAGCCAAGCAGAAGCTATGGACAGGCCCTGACCACTCCATCTAGTGGGCTCTCTGCCTCTCCTCATGTCCATCCACATCCAGCTGTCCTCTTCCTTCAGCATCCTTCCTTCCATCTTGATCTGTTTTCTGTTGCTATAACTGAATACCTGAGAGTAGCTATTTTATTTTATTTATTTATTTTTTGAGACAGAGTCTCACTATGTCGGCCTGAATAGAGTGCTGTGAAATCACAGCTCATAGCAACCTCAAACTCTAGGGCTTAAGCAATTCTCTTGCCTCAGCCTCCAGAATAGATGGGACTACAGGCGCCCGCCACATCGCCTGGCTATTTTCTTATTGCAGTTGTCATTGTTGTTTAGCAGGCCCGGACCAGGTTCTAACCCACCAGCCTCAGTGTATGTGGCTGTTGCCCTAACCACTGTGTGATAGGTGCCGAGCCAGAGACTAGGTAATTTATTAAGAAAAATTTATTTCAGGCGGTGCCTATGGCTCAAAGGAGTAGGGCGCTGGAGTATGCTGGAGGTTGCGAGTTCAAACCCAGCCCTGGCCAAAAATTACAAAAAAAGAAAAAAAAATTCTTTCTTTCTTTTCTTTCTTTTTTTTTGAGACAGAGTCTCACTTTTTCACCCTTTGTAGAGTCTCATGGTGTCACAGCTCACAGCAACTTCAAACTCTTGGGGCTCAAGTAATTCTCTTGTGTCAGCCTCCTGAGTAGCTGGGACTTACAGGTGCCCACCACAATGCCCGGCTGAGACTACAGGCACCCGCCATGATGCTCTGCTATTTTTTTTGCAGTTTTTTGGCTGGGGCTGGGCTTAAACCTGCCACCTCTGGTATATGGGGCCAGCGCCCTACTCCTTTGAGCCACAGGTACCATCCAATGCCTGGATAGTTTTTAGAGACAGGGTGTGTGGGGGGGGTCTCAGTCCTGCTTGGGCTGGTCTCAAACTGGTGAGCTCAGGCAATCCACCTGCCTCAGCGTCTCAGAGTGCTAGGATTACAGGTGTGAGCTGCTGTACCCGGTGAAAAATTTATTTCTTAACAGTTCTAAAGGCTGGGAAATCCATGTTAGAGGGATTGCATCTGGGTAAGGCCACATTCTTGCTGGTAAGGACTCTGCAGAGTCCTGAGGCACATGCAGAACATCCCATGGCCATGGGAGAGAGGCCACCTGGCCTTCATAACAGACCCACTCTCAAGATAACTGACCCATTTCTGTGATAACCCTTAACCTTTTAACCCACTAATGGGTTGATCCAGGCTGGGTGCAGTGGCTCACACCTGTAATCCTAGCACGGTAGGAGGCCGAGGTGAGTGGATCACTTGAGCTCAGGAGTTTGAGATCAGTCTGAGCAAGAGCAAGATCTCATCTCTACTAAAAACAAGAAAACTAGCTGGGCATTGTGCTGGGCACCTGTAGTCCCAGTTACTCAGGAAGCTGTGGTAGGAGGATCATTTGAGCCCAGTAGTTTGAGGTTGCTGTGAGCTACGATGATGCTCTATGGCATTGTACCCAGGGTGATAGAGTGAGACTCTATCTCAAAAAAAAAAAAAAAAAGGGTTGGTCTTTCAACTGAGTTTTGGAGAGGCATTCAAACCATAGCACATGCTCCATTCTTTTTTATTTTTTTTTTTTGAGACAGAGCCTCAGGCTATCCCCCTGGGTAGAGTGCCATGGCATCACAGCTCACAGCAACCTCCAACTCCTGGGCTCAAGCGAGTCTCCTGCCTCAGCCTCCCAAGTAGCTGGGACTACAGGCGCCCGCCACAACGCCTGGCCATTTTTTGGTTGCAACCATCATTGTTGTTTGGCGGGCCCGGGCTGGGGATTCGAACCTGCCACCTTAGGTGTATGTGGCTGGCGCCTTAGCCGCTTGAGCCACAGGCGCCGAGCCTCACATGCTCCATTCTTTCCGGTGCTGGCTTCTCTATTACTCTTTAGCATATGCTCATGGGCAGTGAACTGAGGCTCTGGGCTCACCTCCTTGCTGGTTTCACCTCACCCATCTCCTGGTCCTCCCTGCCAATTGGGAACCTTCAGATACCTTGAGTTCCAAGCCCCAACCTGCTCTTACACCCATTTTCCCCTTCCAGAGACCACCTATCCTGGATCTCAGTGGCTTCCTGAGACCCCTTCCTGCCTCTCCTGGGGCCCCAAGGTCCTTGTTCTGCTTAGCAATCAGAGGGATCCCCTGAAACACTGATCATTCCCTCTGCTTAATACCCTGCTCCTGCTTGCAGAAAGCAGCCCCTTTGTTACCATTGTTACTCCAGCCTGTTAATGGCTCTACTTGTTCTCACACATCCCACTCTAGCTGGCAGCCCCAGCATAGAGGTCACCTCTGCCCAGTGGCCTTCCCAGGGCAGTGCTGCCTACTCCTTATTGAGGGGTGGGCTGCTCTTCTGGGCCCTCCCTGTATTTGTGCTCCATTTCCTCTGGAGACTGGCCTTGCTGGAGAGGAGTGGATCTGATTCATCTCAGTTGTTGGCATCCAACACCCGGCTGCCCACAGAGAATAAGTGAGCAGGGAGGGCAAGCCCTGTAGGTTCCCAGCCCATAGCTCTGGACAGAGCTGGGTTAGTCTTGACTCTACCTCTGGGAAGTGTGCTATCAGTTCTGTGCCTCAGTTTTGTTTTGTTGTTTTGTTTTGTTTTGTTTTTGAGACAGAGTCTCACTTTGTCACCCTTGGTAGAGTGCTGTGTTATCACAGTTCATAGCAACCTCAAACTCCTGGGCTTAAGCGATTCTCTTGCCTCAGCCTCCCAAGTAGCTGGGATTACAGGTGCCTGCCACAATGCCTGTGCCTGGCTATTTTGTTGTTGTAGTTGTTACTGTTGTTTAGCAGTCCAGGGCTGGGTTCAAACCCACCAGCCCTGGTGTATGCAGCCAGTGCCCTGGCCGCTGCCTTATTTTTCTCATCTTCAAAATGGGGATGACTGGAATCTTAAATGAGCTAATCCTGTGAAACACTTAGTTTCAAAGACCTAGTTTACTATTACATTACAGAAAAGAAAGGAACTTGAACATTCAGAGCAGCACTATTCACAGTAGCCAGAAAGGTGGAAAGAACTCAAATGTGATGAATAAATAAAATATGGTTTATCTGTGCAATGGAATATTTATTATTTAGTTATAAAAAGGAGCAAAGTACTGACACTACATGGATGTACCCTGAAACCACTAGGTTGAGTGAAGAAAATCAGACAATCATTCCGTAGTGTGAATGAATGATTCCAGCATGTTGAATGATTCCACTTATATGACACCTTCACAATAAGTAAATTCATATAAACAGCAAGGAGATTGGTGGCTGCCAGAGCAGGGGCAAGGAGAGAATGGGAAACGACAGCTTAACAGATACAAGGTTTCCTTTTGGGATGATGAAAATGTTTTGGAACTGGACGGTGCCCGTAGCTCAGTGGGCAGGGCACTGGCCACATACATACACCCAGGCTGTTGGGTTGAACCCAGGCTGGTGGGTTCAAACCCAGCCTGGGCCAGCTAAACAACGACTACTGCAACAAAAAAATAGACAGGTGAGTCTCAGCACCGGTGGCTCAGTGAGTAGGGTGCCAGCTTGAAGCTGGTGGGTTTGAGCCTGGCCCAGCCTGCTAAACAGTAATGACAACTGCAACCAAAAAATAGCTGGGCATTGTAGCGGACACCTGTAGTACCAGCTACTTGGGAGGCTGAGGCAAAAGAATCACTTAAGCCCAAGAGTTGGAGATTGCTGTGAGCTGTGAAGCTACAGCACTCTACAGCACTCTACTGAGGGCGACATAGTGAGACTCTGTATCAAAAAAGAAATTTTTTTTTTAAACTACATAGCTGTAGACATTCATAGCTGTGAATGGTTACATGACACTGTGAATGCCACTAATGGTAATACTAATGGTAAATGTTATGAGTATTTACCACAAATTTAAAAATACAAAAGGTGGCCGGGCGCAGTGGCTTAAGCCTGTAATCCTAGCACTCTGGGAGGCCCAGGCGGGTGGATAGCTTGAGCTCACAGGTTTGAGACCAGCCTGGGCAAAAAGCGAGACCCTGTCTCTACTAAAAATAGAAAAACTGAGGCAAGAAGATCGCTTGAGTCCGAGTTGGAGGTTGCTGTGGGCTAAGACGCCTCAGTACTCTACCCAGGGTGACAGCTTGAGACTCTCTCACTCTGTCTCATAAAAACAACAACAACAACAACAACAAAAAACAAGAATAAAAGGCTTTGCAAAGCCGCCAATGAACCATCCCCGACTTGGGTTCTTCTTCTGTGACCCGAGTAATTATCTGGAGAAGTTCTAAGATCCGAGGGAGTAAGGGGATTGGCGACTACCACACCTCTGTTCCAAGTGGGGCCTTGCCCTGACTTCTTGGGGGGCGACCTCCTGCATGGACAGCTGTGGGACAGCGGGCTGCATCTGCTCTGGCTCTCCACCGTAACCACGCCCCTCCTCTCCCACCCGCAAGTCCCCGCTAACTCCTAGGCGGATCCCAGGCCACACCCCTCTCTAGGCTCCGCCCCGCCCCTTTCCTCCGCCTCCCGTCGTTCCCTAGCTCTGGTCTCAGCGCGGCCCGTTGTTATGACGACACGGTCGTAAATCCGCCATCTTCCTGCGGCGCGTTGCGACATGGAGGGCGCGATGGCAGTGCGGGTGACGGCCGCTCATACGGCAGAAGCCCCGGCCGAAGCCGGGAGGGAAGTGGGCGAGGGCGGGGTCGCGGAGGCAGCGGCGGTAGCGGCCTTGGCCCCTGGCGGCTTTCTCGGCCTCCCGGCGCCCTTCAGCGAAGAAGGTAACATTGGGCCTGGCGCGGCCGAAGAGGGTGGCTCAGCTTGGGCTAGCGGAGGCCCTAGTGGACTGAGCTGCGAGCGCGACAGATCTCCCTGACCCAGATTCCGCGCGGACCTCATGGGGCCCCGTGCAGGCCTCCACGAGCCCCCCAGGTTTTCTCCGATGCTCATGGGCCTATCCTGAGGCATACCCAACACCCCGGTGGGCCCAGGTGCCCAAGCCTCCGAGTTCCCGTGTAGATTTTCTTTCTTATTTTGAGACTGGTGTCATAGCTCACAGCAGCCTCCAATTTGGGCTCAAGCGATCTTCTTGCCTCAGTTTTTTTCTATTTTTAGTAGAGACCGGGGTGGGGGTGGGGTCTCGCTTTTGCTCAGGCAGGTCTCGAACTTGTGAGCTCAAGTTATCCACCTGCCTTGGCCTCCCGCGGTGCTAGGATTACAGGCGTGAGCCACCGCGCCAGCCAGTGTGTAGACTTTTGCGGATGCCGGGACTACCAGCTCAGTCAGTTCACGTCCTCGATTCGACCCCCATCTACCTCCGGTGCCAACAAGGTTCTACCCTCCTCTGGGCCCCCTCTCCCTGCATCTGACGGGCCACTAGGGCCCAGGCTGGAGTAGGGCTGGAAGATCCCGAGGGGCGGGGCTCTAGGCTTGTCCGTGGGGAGGCAGCAGAGCCCAGTGGAAGAGAGCTGTTGCACTGTAGCCAATCTGTGGACTGAGTCCCAGACCTGCCACTTCTTGCTGTTTGATTCTGGGCATTTGAGCCTCCATTTCTCCTTGCAAAATGAGGTGGCTACTGCAGTCTGTAATGTACCAAGTGCTTACTCTGCATCATCATTTTTCATTTTCAAACCAGTCCTGAGTGGTGGATGCTATTAGGATCATTATTCTCACTTAGGGGATGAGGAAATTGAGGTTCAGAGATGTGAAAGTGACTGAGGTCCCCTACCTGGTAAGTAGCAAGGACTGGATTAGATCCCAGGACTGTGAAGCTCCTCAACTTGGCCCCTTTACTCCCTTCCTGGTCTGTGTTTCATAGAACCATCATGAGATTTAAAATAGAGTATGCGGCTTGGCACCTGTGGCTCAAGTGGCTAAGGCGCCAGCCACATACACCTACGGTAGCGGGTTCGAATCCAGCCTGGGCCTGCCCAAAACAACAATGACAGCTGCAACCAAAAAATAGCCAGGCATTGTGGTGGGCACCTGTGGTCGCAGCTACTTGGGAGGCTGAGGCAGGAGACTCGCTTGAGCCCAGGAGTTGGAGATTGCTGTGAGCTGTGATGCCAGGGCACTCTACCCAGGGGGACAGCTTGAGGCTTTGTCTCAAAAAAAATAATAATAATAAAATAAAATGGAGTATGCACGGCTCTGCACATGTGGCGCAAGCGGCTAAGGTGCTAGACACATACACTGGAGCTGGTGGGTTCGAATCCAGCCCGGTCCTGCCAAACAACAATGACAACTACAACCAAAAAAAAAATTAGCTGGGCATTGTGGCGGGTGCCTGTAATCTCAGCTACTTGGGAGGTTGAGAGAGAATTGCTTAAGCCCAAGAGTTTGAGGTTGCTGTGAGTTGTGATACCACGGCACTCTACCCAGGGTGACAACTTGAGACTGTCTCAAAAAAATAAAAATACAGCTTACACGTAAAGCCCCAAGAACAGTGTTGGGTGCACACTAAGGACTCATTCATGGGGCACTGATAGCTTTTGGAGATGTAGCTTGGGTCTCTTTGAGCTTATTCCATGAGGCTGTAGATGGGGTCAGACAGAAAGGAAGGGGTGGCTAGTGATATTGGAGTTAGGATGGTCTCATGTTTGTGCTCATAGGATTCATAGTCTCTGCGCTGCTTTTTTTTTCTTCCCCCTTCCTATTCCAGCTTGGAGAGGGGCGGTGCCAACATGAAGAGGGAGGTTGGTGGGCCTGCCCATGCCCTTGTTTTCATGCAGTGGGCTGGCACAAAATGGCAATACCTTGATGCTGAGTCAGATTTGGCAAGCGGGGTGGGAAGGTTATGGGAGTTATGGACGCCTCAGTGCGTGGTTTATGACTGTGAGCTATCTGGAAGGGACTGCCCTCTGTCAAGTGGCCTTCTGTGGTTAAGTCATAGCTGTGGTTTGGCCCTTTGTTTGCTCATTAATTCAACAACCATTGACCAAGCTTCTTCCATGCACCAGGTTTGGGTTTGACCTTGATATGGGACTGAATGTGAGGTGGTGGGAATTGGCAGACTTTTATGGAAGCAGAAGGGACAGCTCTCCACCTTTTTGTGCAAATAGCAGGGCATCTGGAGTAGACCCTCAGTATCAGGTTCTGGCCCCAACACTCAACGGTTGGGTGACCTTGAGCCTCAAATCATTTTTCTAGGATGGAAATAGACATCTCCATTCCCTGGGTGCTGGCAGGATTTGATGATGTCCCTAATGAGGTGCTTGGCACACAGAAGGGACACAGTGAGCGTGAAGTCTGTACTGCAGCAATGGGGGCCAGCATGGTGATGGTGAGGGGCTCAGGTGCAGTAGCCCTGGGGCATGGGACCCCTCTGGAAAGCTTCACCGTTAACATCTACATCTGAGCAGGGGTACTGCCTGTTGGAGAACAAATGAAGCCCCAAATCAGTGAGAAGAGTGTCAGATCAGGGCCCTGCTGTTCGTATGGATATTAGCCTATGAATCCCCACTGTATTTCCTACACATGGACTGGGTAAGCCCAATTTGCTGACCCAGATGAACAAACAGACTTAGAGATGTCATTGAGATGCCTGGGCTCGGCGCCTATAGCTCAACCGGCTGGGGCGCCAGCCACGTACACCTAAGGTGGCGGGTTCGAATCCCCAGCCCGGACC